CTTTAGCAGCACCAGGAGCACCCCCAGCCCCGTGGGGTGCCGGGGCAAGAAGGTAAGGGGTTATTCCCCCCCCCACCCTCCACCAGGGTTACAGCAGCCCTTGGGATATGGGGAGCAGGGGAGCCCCCCCACACCCTGGCCCCCATCCCAGTTGCTCCAGTTGAACGCCCGTCCATCAGGGAGGATGTGACCGGCTCTGGAGAGTGTGGCCCCGGTGGTGGCACACGTTGTGGTCACACTTACCGGCCCCTTGTGCATCAGAGCCATCTCGGTGGGCTGGTAGACACTGGTCAGCAGTTGCCCGTTGTAGCCGCTGTACGGGGACACCGGCTTCTTGCCTGCAAAGAGATGGGGACGGTGAAGGAGATTTGGGGGGGGAGGGAAGTCACAGAGCCACCCCCACCCCACCGGGGAGCCGCTCCTCGTTAGTAGCTTTAATGAGCTGACTCAGCATCCGGCTGCTCTGCGCCCTTCCCGGGGGGACAGGAGGGATGTCCCAAGGGCTTGCATCACCCGCTCCTGGCCAGGGTTTGTTATTGTAGGGTCTCCCGGAGGCAGGGTGGTGTGGGGGCTGCTCAGGAGCCCCCACCTTGCCCCCAGGGGGCTGCAGACACCTTTGCCAGGGCAGGACAGGCGCTTGCCACCGGTGCCCGCTGGGGTGGCCGACACCGCCCCGTGTTATTGTAGGGTCTCGGGAGCAGAGCGGCTGCCTGGGGCGGTGGGACGGGAGCCGCGGGCACCCCGCGCCGGGGAGGGAGCACCCCTGCTCAGCCCAAACTGGTAGACCCAGCCCGGCGGGTTTTCGGCAGCCACAACCACGGCAGGCGTCGATGCCGGGGCGGGTCGCAGCCAGACGTCTCGCCACCGCCCGCCCCAGTGCCGGTACCTGCCGCCGTGGGGTTCAGAAGGTCCCCCGGTGAGCCCCGGTGCCTACCAAAGGAGGGCTCGTCCATGGAGAAGGCTTTGTTCTCCACAAACATGCTCTGCGACTTCTGCTCCTTGAGGATGGTCTCGTAGCCCACCCCGCGCGTGGGGTAGATGTCGTCCTCGAAGGCCTGCTCGGGGCTGCGCCGCGTCACGTGCGTCACCTCGGGGATGACGTAGAGGAGGAGGAAGGCGCAGGCGTTGGAGACCAGGGCGATGGCCAGCGTGGGGTCATCCCAACCAGGCTTCTCGCCCGCGTGCTGGTTCCCGTAGAGGTACATGGCCGTCCACGCCACCCAGATGGCCATGGAGAGGCTGGTGGTGGCCAGGATGAAGGCGCTGTGCTTGCGCCAGCGGCCGTAGCGGCCACAGAGGGCTGGCCAGGCGGTGCCGAAGGCAGCCACCAACAGGACCATGACGTAGATGAGTGCCATGACGAAGTCAGCGTCCTCCAACCGGCAAGGGTCCGGGGAGCCGCCCTCCCGCCGCGCCACCGTGATGATGAGCCACTCGGCGTTGATGATGACCTCCACCAAGGCGAGGAGCAGGGCCACCGCCAGCGTCACCCAGCCCCGTGGGCCCTGGTTCCTCCGTGCCAAGAAGTTGAGGGCCACGGCGTGCGCCAGCAGGCAGGAGAAGCAGATGCCGAAGAGGACGCCGAAGAGGAAGCGGCGGGAGGTGCAGGTGGAGAAATCCGGCCCCACGATGAAGTCAAACGTCAGGCAGAAGAGCCCGAAGGTGCCCAGAAGAAAGAAAACCTGCGTGGCCACCAGGCTCTTCTTCTGGGGTTCCTGCACGAAGGGTAGGCTGGCCACCAGGACGATGGTGAGCACGAAGCTGGTGACCACGCCGAGGCTGGCCACGGCCTCCAGCACGATGCCCCAGGCTGCCGAGAGGTCGCAGAGGTTGTAGTAGAGGGAGGAGAGGTCCTTGCCACAGCCCGAGGGAGGGGTGGTCTGTCCGCCGGCCACGGGGAGCAGGGCCAGCAGCACCCATCCTGCTGCAGCACCCATCCTGCGCGGCGGTGCGGGCACCGAGCGGGGCATCCAGGGACCCTATGGGACAGAGAAGGTGTTAGGAAGATGGGACCAGGGCTGTGGCTCAGCTCTTGGCGCTGCCTGTGCCATCTCCAGGGCTCGGAGCATCCCTGTCTGCCATCCCCAGGGTGGGCATCCCTCCTGCCTGGCTGTGCCAAGGGACTGGGTGAGGCCTGTCTGTGGTGGCACAGCCCAGCCCACCCCAAAGTAGCTCTAGATGGGATCGGGCAGACACATCCCCTGGGGGGACACACAACTGAGGGGGTCCCAACCCCCTCTGTGCCCCCCACGCTCTCTCCTGATATGATATGAGCTCCAGGGCTGTGCCAGATCCCTTCCTCCACGGGGTGAGGCCTGTCTGTGGTGGCACAGCCCAGCCCACCCCAAAGTAGCTCTAGATGGGATCGGGCAGACACATCCCCTGGGGGGACACACAACTGAGGGGGTCCCAACCCCCTCTGTGCCCCCCACGCTCTCTCCTGATATGATATGAGCTCCAGGGCTGTGCCAGATCCCTTCCTCCAGTGCCAGGAGCACCGTGCCCGCTGGTGTCCCCCCAGGCCTGGGCCACACAGCAGAGATAACACCCGGGGACAGGACTGTCCCCTCAGCTCGTCCCTTCGTGCCAGCTTGTTCCTCTTTCTCCTTGTCCCACTTCCCCCCCCCTTGACTCCTTTGGCTTCGGGCACCGACCCAGCTCAGGTCCCGTGTCCGGCGCTGCTGGCACGTAGGCAAGCCTGGCACGGCACGGCATGGCACTGGGGGTCCCTCTCCCCAGGACCCCAGGGAATATGGGGTGGGCATGAGGAAGAGGAGGCAGAGAGGAAGCTGCAACCCCACTGCTGGGGAGAAGGGGGGAAACCCAGCAGGAGACCTCCGGCAAGGTGACCCCGGGATGGATCTGGGGGTCCCTGTCCCCATCCCGGAGCGGCGGCCCCGGGTGCAGGGCGGGGGAACGGGGGGGTCCCCCCCGTTCCCCCGCCCTGCACCCGGGGCCGCCGCTCCGGGATGGGGACAGGGACCCCCAGATCCATCCCGGGGTCACCTTGCCGGAGGTCTCCTGCTGGGTTTCCCCCCTTCTCCCCAGCAGTGGGGTTGCAGCTTCCTCTCTGCCTCCTCTTCCTCATGCCCACCCCATATTCCCTGGGGTCCTGGGGAGAGGGACCCCCAGTGCCATGCCGTGCCGTGCCAGGCTTGCCTACGTGCCAGCAGCGCCGGACACGGGACCTGAGCTGGGTCGGTGCCCGAAGCCAAAGGAGTCAAGGGGGGGGGAAGGGGGACAAGGAGAAAGAGGAACAAGCGGGCACGGAGGGCCGAGCTGAGGGGA